AGCCCCCCCCCCCCCCTCATAAATAATGATTGGTCCATAAACGATCTGACCAGTTTGGGTTATTTTACTTGCAATTAATCTATTATACGCAATGTCTTCAAGTAATGCTATAAACACCCCGAAACCGCGTTTGTCAGCCGCTCGATCTTTTCTTATGACATGATAACCTTTCGGTAGCAACTCATTGTTCGTGAAATTATGATTGAGCCATGTCTCAGTTACCAAAATACAATCAAGATTGTCGCAAAAACCAGGTCTTGGAAAGACTTCAAGTTGTTAATTAAAGTTCCATCAGGTAATTTTGTACTACTTCGAATACTCTGGGCATTGAAGGAAAGACACCGAAAATATTTACTACCAGGACCTGGATTGATAGCAACATCTCCTGATAACAAGATCCATAAGAGTAGATGTAGATTATTATTAATTTGAAACTGTAGGCCATAACGATAATTACTGAACAATGAACATTTCCTTAAAATAGTATCACGCGTTGAAATCCAAATATAGCTTAATCGGCCAGATATTGATACAAGTTCCGAGGAGTTCTGAGGATCTAGTGCTGGTTTAGAGCGTGAAAATAGCCAACACGTTACAGTAAGAAGCAGAAGCCAATTAGAGTTTGAATTGAACAAGAATCGGCCGGTTATTAAATTCATTGTATTGACTTTTTAAGGGAAATCCCCAAGAATGAAACCAAAGAAGTTTGGCAAGCCAAAGGTCAATAGTGAGCACTACAAGATCAATAGCCAAATTGTAAAAAAAATCACGATATACTGCACCACAAAGAGCGATTATCAATTCAAAATGTTAAGAGTAAATAGACAAACAAGATTCAAATGCTGAAATTTGCCTTTAATTAAATGAAGAAAACTCGATTATAGGTACATAACGATGTTGCCATGACGACTGACGCAAATGATTTAAACATTTCCAACCGTCAAAATTTAAAGAACGCGAATTATTTAAATTGTATTTATCATGAAAACACCAAGACTAGATATGATAGCAGGAACAAAATACGTAGTGCACAGGGAGAATTTGAGACAAATCCGGTAAGTAGAAAATAAGATAATGACCAACAAACCAAATTCACGACTTGTAAATGATAGACACCATGACACGACAGATGACCACGGTAATAAAATCCCAAATATATGCGTAAATTTACAAACAAACAAACAGCACGAAAGATATATCCACGGAGTAACATTAAAAGTGATACTAAATTAGTATCGCTCCAAAGAGAAATGGGGTTAAACGTGATAAAATTTTATAGACACCGCTCCCTCACGGTGTTTACCTCACATACCGGAAGTTTTTTTCCCCGTTTTTTCCCCTTTTTTTTAGTTACAAAACATTAATCGATTTTCTTTGAAATCATGGCCCAACAACCACATGGATTGTAACTTTTAAAACATATTTATTCTACGTTACCTCCTTCACCTCGGGTGCCGGCGGCTTTGTTCGTTTCTTTGGGATTGGTCTGACCTTGAATGGTTTATCAGATATTTCTAACCAGTAGCCCTCAATTTCGTGTCGCCTTTTTAACACACAATCCAAATCTGCAAAAAAGATGAATCTTAATTTGAATTTTAAAGCATAATATATGTTAAGTTGTTTTTAGTGTTATGCTATGGATTACTATTATACTAGCCATTTCAAAGTTGATAAACAGACTGGAACGGAGCATTTCTCCAAAACTCTTTCAAAGCTAATCTTTATAGAGAGCAAAACAGGAAGTTGACGTAATCAGCTGAGAGGTGATTTTTAAAATCTGACGGACTGCAGGAGTCAAAAATATATGGGAAAGCTGTTTCATACAGTCGGCTGTGAAACGATTCAGTTTACAATTTAACTTTGAAGAAATGATAAAACGAAATTTATTATGGAAAACTGTGAAATACAAGGAAAGTTTGTACGTAAACACGAATTTGTTGCTTTAATTTCTTTGCCCATACATAAGTTTTCCAGAAGCTTACATAATATTTTCCTATTGTTTCCAGGCATGATGCGGAACGTCATGCTCAATTTCCCTCAAAGTTGAGCCACCCTATTCTTTTAAGAAGGATAATAATTCATCAAAACTACATTGCGAATTTGTCGGTGAATCTCCGAATTACAATGTAAAGAAGATTTGCATGTAATTAGTCCTCTTTAACTCTTACTGTATCTGTTTAGCCATCAGAAAAGCGAAGGTTAATCCTAGATCGAGCAGTTGTTACACAAATGTCTTTACAATGAAATGCATGTTTAGAGTTTGAGAATCACGAGAAAACTTTAGAATACTTCACATTAAACGGTTTCATGAACAAATTTTATCTCATAAGTGGATATCACCACTTGGACATTTTTCCGCATCATAGAAATATTTAGGGTTAATTAGACAGTAATAGATGGACTTCAAAGACGGTGTGCAGAGGTTTTTTCAGTTAATGTATTACCCTTCGGGCCAACTACCGCCAAAATATTTTTACAAAATTACTGTGTCCCCTGCCCTTGGCCTCAAAGAAATGTATGAAAAGGCAGAATATGCAGCCCATCACACTCAGGGGGACTTCTATACATGGCGGGCTTCATTGGGGCAGAAGAAAAAGTTTGTTGAAACCATGCAGTACAAGTTTTTGAGCGCCTTGACCTTAAGTGGGATGCATAGGGGGAACGATCTCGATAACCGATAAACGTATCAGTAAAATTGTACAGTTGCTTAATACTGCCAATGAGTTTTTAAGAACGTCTGCTCGTAAATTAGCAGCTATAGTTAATAACGGGAACTAATTATTATATTGTATAGTTTGCCGGGAAAATTTGTTTGATTCTCTCATCAATTGGTTCACAGATAACAAAGCAACAGCAAAAAAATTGTTCACATGGGCTGTATGAAGTTGACTTTACAAACACTAGCATACAATTTTTTTAAATTCGTACTGTTTTCCACACAATATTGCTACTCACATTCTTTAACTAAAACAAGACCCTAAAACTACGAAACCTTAAAAACTTGTAAATATATATATACGTCTTACTTATACTGTAGTTTATAGAACTTAGTTAATATAATAGTTTGTAAATAGCTTTAAATATTATATTTTTGTAATTCCTTTCTACACGCCCCCTGTCAGGAAATCAGCCTCAGTTGACAGGGTTAGCGTTGGTAAGTAAAGTTTTTCTATCTATCCCTATAACATTAAATTAAACACACAAACGGATTTCATAAGTACACGTCAAACGTTGGGACCGTAATGACTAACCAATAATTTGTTTCTGCAATTAGATGCTATCTGGCGGCCACATGCACATACTGTTTTGACACCTATTGATAATGCAAAAATTAAGTCATTTTTCTCCCATTTCTGAAATCCACCTTTTTCTGGGGTTGGCACGTTTTTCATGGTTTTCTGTGAACATTGTTACGATATTAAAGACCTTAGCTATTTGAATTCCCAGAAAACTGCACTCAGTAGGAACAATGATTGTACCTGCCTGGCCTTGCGCATGTTTGGGCCAGTACTTTGACAGCGTCACGGGGCTAATAATGTGGAGCGTATAGGTTGAACTCACGCTAGCAACAGTGTGATCACCGGAGTGGAACGGTTACATAATTTCCATACAAAAGTAATTTCTATAGCGAGGAGTGAACACTAACGTATTATTTGTATGTTGGCATGGCAGCGAAATATATATATATATATATATATATATATATATATATATATATATATATATATATATATATATATATATATATATATATATATATATATATATATATAAAGAGAGAGACTGTACAGATCAGCTGTGAAAGTTTTCAAGCCGAGGGCCCACAGAAGGAGAGTTAGGTAAGTTAAATTAGGAAGCAAAATATGGTTATATTTTTAAAGACATGGTTGTAATGTTCCTTCGGTGTCATACCGAGGATTCAAAGAAGAGCTGATATGGCAATATGAACTTTGGTCTGTAGATTCCGGCAAAATATGCATGTGAATATACTTGTACATATGCAATATGCATGTGAATATATATGTAATATTTTTCATGTTTGTTTTCTTTTTTATCTCTTTTAGGCATTATTGAATGCTTTAGTTGAGAAATCTGCCCCATTAGTTACAGTGAAGAAGTTGATATTAGATTGTTTTAAGTAATTGACGTAGGGAACTGCTGTAAAGAGATACATATAGGGGAAGTTGTTTTGTTCTCATATAATTCCAATTACAAAGAAGATGGCCGTAGACTTTTCCCGGCACAATAGTGCACTTGTCTTAAAGTTTGTATATGCATCGTTTTGTTAGGTAAGCAAATTAGCAAAAGTTTGCTGCGGCATGTCTACGCAGCACTCAAGTGGGTTCACAGAATACTACACCTACAAACGGATCTCTTGGATGCTACCATACGGTTTGTTGGCAATTTTGGGATTTATAGCAACAGACATTGATGGTCAGAACGATGCAATTTAGGCTAGGGAGCAATGTGTATGAGTAGAGGTCAGCCATGTTGGTTAAAATCTGGTCTAAGAGGTTATTACCTCTTGTAGGGGATGACACCATTTTTTAAAGGTTACTTAGGTTTAGTTTATCAAAGTCCCCAGCGATAATTATTACTGTCAAAGGATGAGAAAGAAGAACATTATCCAGACTATCTGTACAACTTGAGTAGACTGCCCTCGGTGGATAGTAAACGGTGACCACAATGATGGCACTTAAGTGCCTTGTGGTAGCCAAACTACCTCTTTCTCGACTTCTTCAAGGTGTCGGTCGCTAAACGGCCTAACCCTCTGGACAGCGGACACTTCTGTATATTGAACAGCAAGCTACAATCTTGGAAATAACTGGTTAAGACACCTTTTCCTCTTTTCAAAATTGGCAATAAACCTTAGGATAAATTACATGTTAAATCATGTTGTGCTTCTTAAGCCCTATAGCTGCTCTCCGAACTCAATGTTGAACTTCTATCATCGTAAACTACCAAAAGTTGTTTCAGCATTGTTTACAACATTGTAGTGGGGGGGGGGGGGGG